TCCCGTTAAAAAAACAGTAAAATACTGGCAGCTGCAGTTGCTAGCAATGTATTGTTATTTTACAGTATGTTGCTGTAAAAGTATATGGACTACATTGATTTACACAATACTCAAGTGAACTCATTTTGCTCACTGAAAGCAACTGCCTCAAACTGGTCAACTGCTGTATGAGTTTAAGAAATAATGTGCTATACAGGTACGTTTAAAATACTTATAACAATAACTTGTTTTAGTTCATTAGAAAACTTCCGTTTAACTCAAATGTCTTAAATTTCACTGCAGCACACATAAACATAAATCTGGAATTACCAGAAAGATTCTAACTGCATCATCAACTAAACAGCTGCTGTCTTTAAATAAATAAATAATAAAAAAACATGAATAAATTCAGCAGTTCATCTTTAACTCACACACTGGCTCTATACTCTCCTCCACAACGGTGACACACAGAAGAAATTAGCTTCAGGTTTTACAGTAATATACTGTCATCCCTTGATTTAACGGTACTGGCAGCTGTGGTTGCCAGCAATCTACTGTTTTTTTACAGTCTACTTCTGTAGTTTAAATTAACAGTATATTACTGTTAAAATACATTTTTACACTGTGTTTTTACCTCTTACACCTTTAACCCTTTAAACCCCAGAGCATATACTTCTGTTTTAAATGAAGTGTCCGCACTACTGACTGTTTAAGAAACGTGTAGCAAAGCTGAAGTAAATTAATTAATTAACTGACTAATTAAATGATAATTGAGGATTAGCGATGAACAAATGAAGAAATACTGAAGGGAAAAAACAAGAACAGAACACACAAAACTACAACTTTAGTCACAGCTTATTAATGAAATAACCTGAAGGTCAACAAATGATTACATTTACATTTACATTTAGTCATTTAGCAGACGCTTTTATCCAAAGCGACTTACAAATGAGGACAAGGAAGCAATTTACACAACTAAGAGCAACAATGAATAAGTACTAAAGGCAAGTTTCAGGTCTGTAAAGTCTAAGAAGGGAAGTATTAGTAGTTTTTTTTTTTTTTTTTTTTTTTCGTGCAGTTAGTGTGATATTCAAAGAGGCAATTGCAGATTAGGAAGTGAAGTGGAGACTAAATAGTTGAGTTTTTAGTCGTTTCTTGAATATAGCGAGTGACTCTGCTGTTCTGATGCAGTTAGGGAGTTCATTCCACCAACTGGGCAGATTAAGCGTGAGCGTGAGCGTTCGCGAAAGTGATTTTTTCCCTCTTTGGGATGGAACCACGAGGCGACGTTCATTCACAGAACGCAAGTTTCTGGAGGGCACATAGATCTGCAGAAGTGAGTGCAGATAAGAAGGTGCTAGGCCAGAATTCACTTTGTTGGCAAACATCAGAGTTTTGAATTTGATGCGAGCAGCAACTGGCAGCCAGTGCAAACGGACTAGCAGCGGAGTGACATGTGCTCGTTTAGGTTCATTGAAGACAACTCGTGCTGTTGCATTCTGGAGCAGTTGAAGAGGCTTGATAGAGTTAGCTGGAAGCCCAGCTAGTAGAGAGTTGCAGTAATCCAGTTTGGAGAGAACAAGAGCTTGAACAAGGAGTTGAGCTGCATGTTCAGATAAGAAGGGTCGGATCTTTCTGATGTTATAGAGTGCAAATCTGCACGATCAAGCAGTTCTAGAAATGTGGTCAGAGAAGTTTAGTTGGTCATCAATCGTTACTCCAAGGCTTTTCACCATTTTGGATGCAGTAATGGTTGCCCCATCCATCTGGATTGAAAAGTTATGGTGTAGAGTCGGGTTGGCAGAAACTACAAGCATTTCCGTTTTTGCGAGGTTCAGCTGAAGATGATGATCTTTCATCCAGTGTGAAATATCCAACAGGCAGGCTGAGATACGAGCTGGAACCGAGGGATCATCAGGATGAAAAGAGAGGTATAGCTGGGTATCATCAGCATAGCAGTGGTAGGAGAATCCATGTCTCTGGATGACTGGTCCTAGAGATGATGTGTAGATGGAGAAGAGAAGTGGCCCAAGAACAGAGCCTTGAGGTACCCCAGTGTTTAGATGCTGTAGGTTGGACACCTCTCCCCTCCAAGACACCCTGAATAACCTGTCAGAGAGGTAAGATCTGAACCATTGTATAACAGTGCCCGCAACGCCCAGTGACTCAAGCGTAGATAGCAGGATCTGGTGGTTGACAGTGTCAAAAGCAGCTGACAAGTCCAGCAAAATGAGGACTGATGATTTAGAGTCTGCTTTAGCCAGTCTGAGATCCTCCACGACCGAGAGCACGGCAGTCTCAGTTGAGTGGCCTTTCTTAAAGCCGGATTGCTTGTTGTCCATGAGATTGTTTTGAGTAAGAAAGTCCAGAACTTGATTGAACACTATTTTCTCCAGAATCTTGGCCATGAATGGAAGCAGGGATACTGGTCTGTAGTTTTCAAGTAGCGTATGGTAGTTTTAAATCATTTAAATTATAAGTGGATGATTAAACAACTCTACAAACATCATCACCAGCTACACTTATAACTGAAACATTTATTTTTGTATAACATCTACTAAAGTTCTTCTTTAGAAAAAAAGTTAAAGTTTTACGTCACCATCATGGAAAACAGAATTTGCTTTAGTGGGCTCTTAGCCCTGAATTTTTTATCATTTATATATTTTGGCTGCTGCAATTGATAAGAACTTTGTCTTAAAAGCACTTTTGATGTGGCAAGCTAGCCAAAAACCTAAACAAGCTCTGGTGATGTTCATGTTGCTATTAAATGGCAGAATCTGTTCTAATATAATTTACTGCTCCTATTTAACGTTTAATCTGTTGCTTAACATTACATGTCTGACTATGGCAATGATTTCTGGAAGTTATCTTGGACAACTTGCACTCAAAGAAACATCCACAATCAGCGTATGAACCTCAATAATGGTGACAACTAACAAAATTAACAGTTTAACTCACAAACAGGCAACTGAAAGTCTAAACATAAACAACAGCAGAATCAAACACAAATAAAGAAAACTGTGAGACCATTATACAACATTTATTCATGCCGCAATGCATGCTGGGATATTTGTACTGTGCCACACCCAGCATGCATTGCAGCATGAAACATTTGAATTGTTACCATTGTTGAGATACAAGGTCTGATTCATGAAGTCTGAGTGTGTCTTTGTCACAACTGAACTGTTTTTGTATGTTATTTCTTAACTGTTAAGTAATTACATAGAAATCTGTTTCCTCTTCTCACTTATTAAATTAATATCTGCGACTAAGCATAAAATCTATTGCATAAGGCCCTTCATCTAAATTAATACAAAAACATTTATCAGAACTTAGAATAATAGATTAATCTAACTATTAACTTTCCAGCTTTATAGCTATAATAAAAGTGTTTCGTTAATTCTGTATTATAGCAGATAGAGAGTCTGAATCAATAAGTTCAAGGGTGAAGATCCCAACTAAACCCTCACTCCATTACGGTGATACAAAAAACACCTAAATTTCTGTTGGATCTCAATGAGAATAGTATGGAAGTCAAATCAGTCAGTAATAAGTGTGTCTGCTGTTGTTTGTGGAGTTGTTTAATGATCCTCTGCTGAGACTGAAGGTGTTTTATTTTACTTGATTTTATTTAATGTTGTAACTGACGTCACTGTTTGTGTTTCTTGTTTCTCTTTCCTTCAGTAATTGTGATTATTAACAGCAGGTGTTCATTAGTGTCTGAATTCACTCATTAGTGTTCATTAACTCTGTCAGGAGAACTATATTGGTGAACTAGTTGATGGAATAGTGAACAAGGGCACAAAGTGTGATTTTAAACACAGACTTCAAAATGTTGAATCTGAACTCTGTTAGCTCACAGTTTTCTGCAGTTGGTTACTTTCTCGAAAACAAAAATGTTACACAGAATGCACTGTTTTTAACAGAATATTACTGTTTTAGTAAAAAAAACAATATTTTACCGTAGCATCTGGCCATTTTTTAACAGCAATTTTTTACAGTTTGGCAACCACAGCTGCCAGTATTTTTATGTAAAATCAAGAAAAACAACAGCAAAATACTTTAAAATGGTTTTTGTGGCACCATTGTGATGGATAGTAGCATCTGTGTACAAGTCCAAGATGAACTAAGAGTGTCAGATGTTTAGCAGCATCTTCTTTTGTTTAAATGTAACTGTGTAGTTACTAATGCAGTGAAAATCAGTTTGTTAATTACAGTCACACTTGAATACAATTATGCATTGAATGACTTTACATTATATAAAAAGATTTTGTATTGAACTGATGCACTATGGTTCTCAATATCAATAAGCTCAGATTTATTACTTAGACATTTAAAACATTGATTTTAATGCCAGTAAATGCAGTTGCTTTCTGCAAATATAAATAATTAACTCAAAGGTTTGTAAATTATCATTGCATCAGTTGATGCATACATTTTTCTTTTGTTAAAAATACAAAATTTTACTGTAAAAAACTATTTAACAGATAAATTCAGTATTTTTTACAAAAAAGGTCTGGCAACCATAGCTGCCAGTATTTTTCCCTAAATTTTACAGAATTTTTTTACAGTGTATTTATATATATATATACACACATACACATATGGTCATAAAATAATATAATTATATCTATTATATTCCAATACATGTGTACATATTTGAAATTCAAGTGGTTGCATAATTCTACATGTAAAATGGCTGGCTTTGCAATATTTTTATATATTTAAAAAGCAAATATGAACTTGTATATCATATTTGTTATTTGCATGTATCAAATGGGAAACATGGGGTGACATTATTTTGATTTAGCACAAATAGATTTATTTACTGTAAATAAAAAAATTACTGTCAAAGCTGCTCTTTTCTGTGCAAGTCATACAGGCATGGCCCTTATCTTCCCATTGGTTTTCAGTCACTTACATTTGACATTTTGAGAGTTTGAAACTATTATGTGCATTTTTGAGCACACATATTATTATATGAATATGCTATTGTTACCTAATTTATGTGTGTGTTTTAGGAGAGGTGGAAGACCCAGAATATGATGACTGCATGCCATGTGAAGAGGGATGTCATAAGTGTGTTCTCTGTAAGTTCAGCAGTCTCTTGAGTTTACTAAGGCGAAAAGTACTGCTGCTACAGCTCTGTCTTATATCAAAACTACTTTTAGAATATAATTCCTGCAATGGGTGGCTTATGACAGTATCAGGTTTTCTTATTGTGAATAAATATGGAATTGTTTACCGTTGTATATAGTAGCATGCCAATATTAACATAAACTGCAAAAAAGTACATTTAAAAGGTATAATGAGAAAAAAATACTTAGCATATTGCTTTATTGTATATACATGTGCTGAGGAAACCGAATTAATTTGCAAAAGCATTATAAAATACAATAGGTAACACTTTTAAATAAAGAGTCATTAGTGAATGTTAGTTAATGAATTATAATCAGAGAGAAAACATCAGATTTATTATGGTTGGTACGTCATTGTTTAAAAAATACCACTGAATTTAAATTAATTTATTCTATATTTAATAAAACAATTGTGATCAGATTATGACTATAATTTCAACACATTATTGAGCATTAACTAAGAAATGGACACCATCTAAAACTAATAATAGATTTTTAATTTTCAACACGAGTTTAGTTAAATTATATAATGTTAACTATTGGAGCCTTTTGGAGCATTTTCAGTCAATATTTCAGCATATAGTAGGCCAGGTGAACATGTGAAACTGCTAATGTTTGAACTATTAAGCTAATAATCAATTAAATTTCCAGTAATGAGTTGGGTTGCAACAGAGGTGAGGATCCATGTGTAGCTTTATTAAATAGAATAGTCAGGCAGGCAATGGCAAGAGGACCAAACAGGAGCAGGCAGGTAATCCAAAGCGTGGTCAGAAAAACAGGCGATTGGTCGGGACAGGCAGCAAAACAGCATAAAACAACACAGTAGACAGGACAAGAAAATCAGGGAATCTGGAACTGGTGTGTGTGAGGTGCGTAACGGGAGTTGTAGTTCATTGAACTGGCAGATGTGTAGTTTTTCAGCATTCTGAACAGGCTAGGTCACTGGTCATTGTATAATCTCCAAGCACTATGTCTTGCTATGACAATCAAAACAAATGCAATGTAAATATTCTTAAAAAGCACTCTAAAAGTTTAAATAATAGTTACTCACTGTATTTTAGAGTGCTCACAATATAAAAATTGTGCATGTTCATTATAAAAAATATATATATTAAATTATTGAATATTGGCATATGTCTAATTGTTGGGTACAAATTGTTTTGACTTTTTGATAATATGCTGTTTCTTCTATGTTTTACAGATAATCCAAAACACTGTCTATCCTGCATTAATGGATATTACAGGTAAGAATATTTGAATGTCATAACAAAACTATCCAATTATACAAATTTCTGGTGTTCAGAGATGTTAGTGAAATGCATATGTGTTTAACAGGTTTGAGGAAAGCTGCTACAAAAATTGTCCCTCTAAGACATACCCAGTGGAGGAGACCATGAGCTGTGTGTCCTGTGAACATGACTGTGTCAACTGTGATGAAGATGAGTGCAGCTGGTGTGAAGCTGACTTCTTCATATCAAGTGAGACACTGAGTTTTATATGGAACTCAGTTTCAATCTATATTTAAGTTTTGTTTTGTTTTTTTTTAGAAAGATGAGTGTCCACCTTTTCTTCAGACAGCACAGATCTGCATGATTTGACTGTCACCTGCCAATTTAGTGGATCTGAAACAGGAATTATCTGACTGAAATGGGCTTATAAAGGAATAATGTAACGGGACTCTATTACAGTTAGCATTTTCTTAAAACTCAAAATTTCCACAACCGACTGATCTCTCATATGCACAGCTATAAATGTACCAATTTATTTAGCCCTGTTCGAATCTGTAGGAATTGTCTGTCTGAATGCTGTTCCAGTTCCAGTTACTGATTCCGTGATGTCAGTGTAAAGAAGTTATTATGCCTAAATGTTACCTCTAAAATAGCTTACTGAATTAGCAGATGTTGTTTTTTTTCCACCACTTTCTTTGTAGTGGTGATGGTGCGCAACATATCTGAAGAGCGGTGGAGGCGTGTGTGTGCGATGTACCTGAGCGGTGGGTTGAGTTGTGCCCAACGTACCTGAAGAGCTGGGAGGCATGCGGTGGAGAGGGGTGTGCGACGTATTTAAGGACCGAGGTGGTAGACGCACAGTTTCCCAAAGATTAGCATTCGTTTGCAGGCATCCAGGAGTCTCCCAAAACTTCCGGGAGACTTGGGATTACATTAAAGTTACTAGCCATTTTGCTAATTAATTTTGCGCGTGCCTGACTGGAGTTGTGTTTGGAGGCACAACCTGGTGTGGTGATATTTGAACAGGTTATTGAGATTGGCTGTTTTGTGTCGGGGTCCAGTGTTGCTGGGCAACGTGGGCAGAGCCAGCAGGAGCAATCTGACACAGAAGGCAGCAGGATTACTAATGAGTGCATGCTTTAATAAAGTGATAGTCTGAGTAATAAAGCGATGTTCTACTGTTTAACATGACAGTGGGGAAGGCAGCATATTGTCTGCCACGTTACTTGGGATGCCATGTTGAGCGTTGTTGCACTGAAAACATAAAATTTTGTTACTAATTCTTTGTTATCTTTTTAGATGTTAGTCTGAATTGAATCCTTCGGTTTGTAAAGCTTACTGAACCGAAAGTCTGGTGCCGAACAGTTCAATATGAATATGCCTATCGTAACACCCTTATTATATATATTTACACAGTTTAAGTCAGAATTATTAGCCCCCCCTTTGAATTTTTTTCTTTTTTTTTTAAATATTTCCCAAATTATGTTTAACATATGGATATTTTCAAAGTATGTCTAATAATATTTTTCCTTCTGAAGAACGTCTTATTTGTTTTTTTCGGCTAGGAGAAAAGCAATTTTTAATTTTTTAAACACCATTTTAAGGTTAAAATTATTAGCCCCTTTAAGCAATTTTTTTTCCATAGTTTACAGAACAAACGATCGTTATACAATAACTTCCCTAATTACCCTATACTGTCCAGTTAACCTAATTAACCTAGTTAAGTCTTTAAATGTCACTTTAAGCTGTATATTAGTGTCGTGAAAAATATCTGGTAAAATATTATTTAGCGTCATCATGGTAAAGTTAAATAAATCAGTTATTAGAAATGAGTTATTAAAGCTATTATGTTTAGAAATGTGTTAAAAAAATCTTCTCTCCGTTAAACAGAAATTGGAGCAAAAAATAAACGGGGTCAAATAATTCAGTGGGGCTGTATTAGCACGTCCCCGAGTATGTCTTCCGATTTAGAGATTATTTAATTAGTTATCATTTCCTCATATTATTTATGTATACATATACACACATACATATATATATATATATATATATATATATATATTTATATATATATATATATATATATATATATATATATATATATATATATATATATATATATATATATATATATATATACACACACACACACACACACACACAATTGAAATCAAATATTTAGGTCTCCTGTGGACTTTTCAGTCTTTTTAAATATTTATCAATATTGAAAAAATATTTTTTCATTTTTTAGCACATCCCCTAGTATGTCTTCCGGTTTGGAGATGGTTTAATTAGTTATCATTTCCTCCTATTACTATTATTGCCTCATATTCTACAATGATGGTATTCTAAGTTGTTTATAAGTTGTTTTTAGTGCAACAGTTTTTTTTGTTTTTTTTTGTTTGTGTATTATTCCTGTTACAGCCACAGGAAAGAATTTAGCCCATGAGATCTTTTTCAGAACGTAGTCTTCTTAAAGTTGAATTTTGTATCAACTGTTTACACTTGAATAGGCTTTATAATTTCTAGATGTCCTTCTGTGCATCATGAATTCAAAATTATTTTGCTTGGGGTGTAAAGAACACAATTTAACCAAAGAAACTGGTATTTTTTGTCTTAGAGTGCAAGTTAAATTGTTAGTTATTTAGCTTTATCTGCATTTAAAGTAGTGTATATAGACCTCTAAATTTGTAATGAATTTGACAATCTTTTCATGGTTTTTCACAATCTCCATGTATCCTACAGATGGGAAATGTGTTCGTGAATGTCCAGATGGGTTCTATAATGATGACGAATCTCAGGAGTGTGAGGAATGCCACTCAGACTGCAAGACATGCAGTGGCCCGGAGGACAGTGACTGTGAAAGCTGCAGCGAGGGACTGACGCTTGACAATGGAGCTTGTGTATCTGAACAGGATGTTTGCCCTGCACAGATGTATCTCACAGGTAAGATATGGAGTCAATCTAGGGTCATAATAAGAGAACAAACATATGTAATTTCATTAGAATATTAAGTATTTTCCTTTATAAATATATCAAAACCTTTTGATTAGTAATGCATATAAACTTGGTAACAATTTATTTTGATGGTCCATTTGAGTATTAGTAGACTGTGCTTAATATCTGCTGATACTGTTGTTACGAACTCCAGTTTTTAAGGCTCGTCTAGGGAAGGGGTTAGCAACATAAAAAGACACAGAAACCAGAAATACAATTCTCTATTTATTTAGAGACCAGAATATAGGTGTCCTAATTAATTAAGGTGGCAACAGAAATATAAAATCATTAATTAAACAATATCCAAGTCAAAGCAATTACTTAAACAAAACATAAATCATAAAGAAAATATTGATAAAAAACATAGATCAAAGAAACGGCACAACACCAGCATGGCTCCTCAGCAGCGGGCCAGCGGCTGCACAAAACGTGCACAGAAGTTTCGGACGTTCATCAGGGCAAAATACGTAGACTCAGCAAGTAAGGGTCATACTCTCCAAAGAGAGACAAGATCGGGTAGATCAGTCAGACGCGCTGGAAAACAAGAGCCACCCCGACACACACTCAGCTTCAGCTTATAAAGGCAACAAGCCGAATTAGCGGCAGGTGCAAGGCGGAGCCAGCCTCAAAGAAAAGAAACAGCAATTAGTAATAATTTCCACCACAACACAAAAATCACGGAGAATAATAATAATAATAATAATATAGAAGGAAGGCTAAATAAAGAATAAACCGTGACACTGCTCCATTAACTATGCAAAACTTTGCAAGTACATGTCAACTTATGCTAACCCTAACCCTAACCCTTAACCCAACCTAACAATCTACGTATAATCTAATGAGAATTAGTTGCCATTTAGATGCAATGTAACTTAAATTCAACAAATGGACCATCAAAATAAAGTGCAACCATAAAAGTTTTAAGATTTATTGAACCCTCATATTCCAGATTTACAAATGTTATTTCAACTAAATATTGTCCTAAAAAGGCACAGACTCTTTATTTATTACTTTATTTAATTGATGTTCCTGTTGATCTCTCACAGATGATGGGGAGTGTGAGGCCTGTCACCCTTTATGTGAATCTTGCTGGGGGAAAATGAAGAATCAGTGCAACACATGTGTCAAAGGTACATAATGATACAAATATGACTTGTGAAAAAGATGGATTGGATAAAAGCATATTTAGACATTTTTGTATGTGTGTTCCAGGTCGATATCTGAATGCAGATCAGTGTGTAGCAAGATGCCCAGTTGGTAGCTTTGGCAGTAAGGATAGTGGTCACTGTGAGACATGCCCACAAGGTTGTGCCCAGTGCCAGGATGAACAGCTTTGCACACGCTGCCAGTCAACACGCAAAAACCCTCTTTATTTGCAGGCTGGCCAGTGTGTACGCAAGTGCACAAGGTTAGAACCTTTATTTTCTTTGTTTATTTGTTTAGCTTGTTTCCATTTGTAGTATAGTTATTATGCTATATTTCTCATCATTTATATATATATATATATATATATATATATATATATATATATATATATATATATATATATAATTGTGTGTGTGTGTTTATACAACATATATAAAAACAAAATCAAACATGGAGACTCTCAAAAACCCTTTTGTATGAGGAACGTTCGAGGTTACAGAAGTAACCCTTTGTTCCCCGAGGAGGGGAACGGAAGTGCCATAGAGTGGATTGATTGAAATCCACGAATGGTAGATTCGGATCAGAAGCTACTTGTCTGGAGAGTATTGAATGGGCCAATGAATGAAAATGAATTGGCAGCGTAAGCTTGCGCAGGTGTGCTGCATCGCCAATTATCCCAGCATATAAGCACACCTGAAGCGAGCAAACGCCATCCTTTTAAGCTGAAGAGACTTTCAAACAGCTAAGGGACAGTCATTATGGCGACGGAGTATGGCACTTCCATTTCCCTCCTCGGGGAACGAAGGGTTACATCTGTAACCTCGAACGTTCCCCTTCGGTTGGGGAACTTCAGTGCCATAGAGTGGATTGATTGAAATCCACGAATGGGAGAAGTATGGAAAGCGCCATAATGACTGCACCTTACCAACGCCCCCGATGAGGGGATAGTCAAGCAAGCGTGAAGCACCCACATCATGGGAGGCGCGGTCCTCCAACGTGTCCCTGGCCCTAATTTATCCTACTTCAACAGAAGTCTTACGGATTTAGATATATTTTTTGGGAGTCGAGAGCATCTAGATAATTCTCAATAATAAGCTTGGGTTAGACCCGCCCTCGTGCAGCTCGGCCAGCACCTGCGCTTGGTAGCGCTGGTAGGTGGCCATCGCATGCAAAGCAGAAGCAGCCTGGCCCACAGCCTTATAAGCTCTGGCTCCGAGGGAGGCAGACAACCTACAGGCTTTGGACGGGAGGCGGGGCAAACCCCGCCACGTAGAGGCGCCGCGCGGACAAAGATTGACCGCGATAGCGCGCTCCACTGATGAGATCGCCTCATACCCCCTGGCAGCTCCGCCGTCAAGGGCGGTGAGGGCGGAGGGACACGCTGCACGGGCAGAGAAAGGTGCCCTCCAAGACTGCGTGAGCCTACTGTGCACTTCCGGGAAGAAGGGAACGAGAAGCTTCGAAGCCATCTAGTCGTTCCCATCTAGTCGGTCCGGCCGTGGAGCTGGGGGATAAACCAGCTCCAACCCCACGGCCGAAGCAGCCCGGGAAAGCACGGCTAACATGTCCGCTTCAGGATCCGATTTGACGGCGCTCACCTGCCCAGAGGGGGCGAGCGGGTCCGGATCTTCGTCGGACAGTGAAAGCCCACCCTCCGATGCCGCGGAGGACATCTGATCTCCGGTGTCAGCGAGCGTGAGAGCTACCATCTGGTTAGATGGACCACTCCCACTACCCGAAGCTTGGATGGAGCGCCGTGAGGAGCGAGAGGTCCGCCGCGAAAACCCACTCTGGACCGGGAGACACTCGTTCGCTCTGAAGTGCAGAACAGCAAGAGGAACCCTCATCGACTCACTCAGAAAGAATCTGAAGCAAAAAGGATGGCGTTTGCTCGCTTCAGGTGTGCTTATATGCTGGGATAATTGGCGATGCAGCACACCTGCGCAAGCTTACGCTGCCAATTCATTTTCATTCATTGGCCCGTTCAATACTCTCCAGACAAGCAGCTTCTGATCCGAATCTCCCATTCATGGATTTCAATCAATCCACTCTATGGCACTGAAGTTCCCCAACCGAAGGGGAACTACTTTTTTCCGCGTTGGATTGAAATCATAAGCTGACAGTTAAACAGCTGAGCAATATATATGTATATATATGTACAAATATGCACTTAAAGTGAAATAACAGCAAACAGTCTTATGCAAAAGTTTGGCCAACCCTGATCATTTTCATAATTGCAATTCATAGCCTGTTGGCCTTTCAAATCAGCAAATTTATTTGCATATATTTTATCCCCTTGGGAAAAAGCAGCACTTTTGTTCTGACATAACATTTATTTAATCAACAAATGCAATGCAACTTAGGTCATAACAAAAACAGACAGGTGCAAAAATTTGGGCACCCCAACAAAACAATGGCATCAATATTTTGTACAGTCATCTTTTGCTGAATTAACAGTCTGAAGACACTTTTTATAGTCCCTGAATTATTGGTGAATGCATTTTGGGCCATTCTTCCTTGCACAATTTCTCCAATTTAGGTTTGATGGGTGCCAAGCATGAACAGCCCTTTTTAAATTAATCCATAAATTTATGATGATATGATGATGTTCAAGTCTGGGACTGGCAAGGCCATTTTAGAACATTATCGTGTCTGAGCATAAACTCCTCGGTAGATCTGAAACTGTGCTTTGGTTCATTGTCCTGCTAAAACATCCAACCCAGGAGTATCCTCTGACAAGGTTTCCAGTACCTGTGCTTGCCACACATCCCCACAGCATAATGGACCCTTCACCAAATATTACAGTAGGGAGCAGGTTCTTCTCCTGGAATGCTGTGTTCTTTTTATGCCATGCAAAACACCTATGATTGTGGCATCTGTCCACAGTATATTTTTTCCAAAATGATTCAGGCTTGTCCAGATGAGCCTTTGCATACCTCAGACGACTCTTATTGTTAGCAGAATGCAGAAAAGGCTTCTTCCGCAACACCTTCCATTGAGCTGTTCTTTGTGAAGAGTGAGCTGTACTGTGGAATGATGTACAATGATATTTTTAGCAGCAAGATGTTCCTGCAGCTTTTTAAAGGTGATCTGTGGTTTGTCTGTGACCATTTTAACCATTCTTCACCTTTGCCTTTCAGATATTTTTCTTGGTCTATCACATCTTTCCTGCACAAGATCTGTTCCTGTGGCCTTCCATTTTCTTCCTATATTTCTAACTGTGGAGAAAGAGACTTAAAACCTTTGTGATAGGTTTTTGCATCCTTCTTCTCAACTGATGTTGGTGAACTATCCTAGTTGTTAGGTCATTAAGAAGTTCTATTGAGGTTCCCGTGTTCCTACTTTCTGGTTCACAATAAGGAGAAGCACAACAAGCAATCAGCTATATCTTAAATATTCTTTCATGATTGGTTTCACCTGTGTTAGGATTGTTAAGGTTCGCTGAGTCGCTCAAATCAATTCTGTTTTGTAATCAATCAGCATTAAGTGACTACAGGTTTTAAAATTCACAAAAAGAGAAGGTGCCTAAACTTTTGCTTAGCATATTTTTCACTTTTCAATTTAATTTTACACACCACACTCAACTACACCACTGATTTTTGTCTGAAACAGATTACATTATCTAGCTTTCACTAGAAGCCGGATGGCATTTCACTGTGATCTTCTCTTATAAAGAAAGAACAAATAATTATGCAGCCACAAAGGGGTACCCAAATTTTTGCATAAAACTGTACACACATAGGATGCTAAGAAAAACCCTAATCACTACTTTGTATGTTTTTTTTTTTTACTTGCTTACATATGTAATGGATGGATTTACATGATATGACCCCTTAAAGATTAAAATGTTACCTCTAAAGAGAAAAGCCACATTACCAGCAAGCACCGTAAAAGGAAAAAAAAAATATGATAATGAGTCAGTTGTGAAAATCATGGTGGGTAACGTTCGAGGTTACAGAAGTAACCCTTCGTTCCCCGAGGAGGGGAACGGAAGTGCCATGAATGGGAGGATTCGGATCAGAAGCCGCTTATCTGGAGAGTATTGAACGGGCCAATGAATGAAATTAATTGGCAGCGTAAGCTTGCGCAGGTGTGCGACATCTGCAATTATCTCAGCATATAAGCACACCTGAAGCCAGCAGACGCCATCCTTTTAAGCTGAAGAGACTTTCAAACAGCTAAGGGACAGTCATTATGGCGACGGAATATGGCACTTCCGTTCCCCTCCTCGGGGAACGAAGGGTTACTTCTGTAACCTCGAACGTTCCCCTTCGGTTGGGGAACTTCAGTGCCATGAATGGGAGAATATGGAAAGCGCCATAATGACTGCACCTTACCAACACCCCCGATGAGGAGATAGTCAAGCAAGCGTGACGCACCCACATCATGGGGGGCGCGGTCCTCCAACGTGTCCCTGGCCCTAATTTATCCTACTTCAACAGAAGTTTTACGGATTTAGATATATTTTTTGGGAAGTCGTGAGCATCTAGATAATTCTAGGAAATACGACAGTACGTTGGGAAGCGTGCAATCCCGATAGGGAGGACGCTGCGGAGGCCATCCGTTACCCAAGGGGGGGATAGATGGCAGAATTTACCTATGGACTAGCCCTAAAAAGGGGGAGTACGCATAGCAAATGAGTGGTTAGCGTAGAGGGAAGACACGGGTCCGCCCAGGGGGGGGACTTAACCGTGGCGGAATAAGCATATGGGATCGCCTAGTGGGGATCACGCATAGCAGGCACCTATACCCAAAACGCGGGCTGACCAGCGGGCAGACCTACAACGTAGTGGGCCAGCAAGTGACTCCTCCGCTGAGTCAGTGCTGGGGGCCACGGAGGAATCTGCAGGGCTCACCTGACGGGGAACTTTACTGACAGATAAAAAAGGCGCACGTACCTCCGTGTTAGGGAGAATGGCGCCGCAAGCGTGTTTCAACACCCTACCGAGTTGTCTCCTCAATCACCAAAGGGTTACCTAATAACCTTGAGGAAACCGGCTCCACTCGCAGATTGTAAAACCTTGCAAATGTGTTGGGTGTCGCCCAGCCCGCAGCTCTACAGATGTCTGTTAGAGAGGCGTCGCGTGCACGCGCCCAAGAGGATGCAACGCTCCGAGTGGAGTGTGCACGAACTCCCGGGGGACACGGCTGACCTCGACTCGAATAAGCGAGTGAAATGGCATCCACAATCCAGTGGGATAATCTTTGTTTCGATACGGCACTTCCCTGCTGCCGACCGCCATAACAGACAAAGAGCTGCTC